ACTTTGTATTTTATCCTGATCTCATTTATTGTATCTTTTTCTTTTTTTTTGTACTAGTAGGTTTATCCCGTAAAATAAATAAATAAATAATTTATTTAAATTATTACAATATTTGTTTAGAATTAATATTTATGAGAAGAAACAAATATTCTAGTATCGTGATTGATAGAAAAGAAAATAATTCAAGATACAAAGTTTTAACACGAGTTATATTCATATCGATCCATATTTATCTTTACAGAACAATGTTCTATTTCTCATCGAATGATCAAAATAAAATCAAATCCGTTTAGAAAATAAAATAAACGAGTTGAATAAAAGTTGTAATAAAATTTGAGTAATTCATTCAATACGATTTTTAAAAAGGAATCTTTCTTCGAGTAATCGTTCGTTCATCGATAAAAATCGAAAAAATACGAGTCCTTTCGAGATTGCCTAATCGTAGGTCTTAGAATGAGCTTGAAAATTGTTCCTTTTTAAAATATCACGTCGATGGTTCCGTTGTCGAAGTGTTCTTTTTGTCATCCGTAATAAAAAGAGAGCTAGCGAGGAGAGAAATAAAAGAAGAAGAAAAAGAAGAAGAAAAAAGAGGAGGAGGTGGAGGAGGAGAAGGATAAAACGTGGGGGAGAAAGAAAGCAGCGATAAAAAGTGGGATGGGAAAAAAAGAATATGGGGATTAAAAAAAAAAAACAAAAAAGAAGAAGGGAGAATATGACCTGTAATCTAGAAAAAAGAAAAAACAAAAAAAAGTGTAATACGAAAAAACTTCGTAGAAGATAAAGCTCGTTTAATGTTCCACGTACAGTTTATTATTAATAAACTTAGCGTTCCCGTGTCCCAATGGTTTTAATGAAATACGATTATTATTATTATTATTATTATTATTATTATTATTATTATTTAAAAAATTCTTAACAGATATTTTCCAATCAAAGTGTAATACGACAATATTTCGAAGAAGATAAAGCTCGTTTAATTATCCTCCTATGGTTTATTATTAATAAAGTCAGTGATTCTATGTCAATGGTTTAAATGAAATACGATCATTATTATTATTATTATTATTATTATTTTTAAAATTGTGAATCGATTCGATAGAGAGGAAATTTAAATTCGAAGTGGAAGAGTAAGTAACTAATTCCGGTAACTCATTCCTACTCGAACATCTGATTTATCTGCTTCTACCACTTGGTTTCCTCCCTTCCTTCCTTTCTTTCTTTCTTTCTTTCTTTTTTTTCCGAAAGAGTCTCTTTATTTTCTCTTTCTCTCTCTCTCTATCTTTTTTCTTTTTTCCTTCATTTAAATAAGACTGTCTAACATTTTCTTCTTATTCGTAGTAGATATCACATTGTAAGTATCGGTACTCTGATAAAAGACTATCACTGAAAATTTAAGGTAATTCCTTTTAAAGTAACATAAATCATTTTTCATTAATTATCGTGTTAAGATTATTTAAATCGTATCGTTTTGTAAAACGTAATTCGCGAATTCGATACAGTTAAATAAAATTTGTACGACGAATGAACGCATCAACGATTTTAATACATTTATAATTGAGTGTGTCATTGATCTATTATTCCCACCACCCACCCCCCCTCTTTCCCCCCACCCACCCATCATCATTACCCTTCCAATACCTTTATTCTTTCTCCTTTTGAACAATTCCTTTTAATTACGATCTTTTTGTGAATATATATAGCAATTATCGCATTGGGTATTTTCCATTAATTCGAGAACATTCATGAAATATATTAATGAAATTCGAGATGATATATAAATATATAAAATAATATTCATTTGATATTTTTTTTTTTAATTTTTATTTAATTTTATTTTATTTCATTTCATCTTTTATTTCTTTCTCTTCTGTCAAAGATTATTCATTTCGAAAAAGGTATTATATAATATAAAAAAAAAAATAATGTTGAAAACGTGCTAGTCGTTATAAAATGAAATGTTTGATTTTAACGTTAGAGTTAGACGGATCGTAATCATTTGAAATTTAAACTAAAAGCACGGATTAAGACAAACATTTTTATGCGTATCCAACGAGAGATTACGCTTGAATAAAAAAAAAAAAAGAAAAAGCTTACGAAGATTCATACTTTATCTAACATTTTTATTCTAGTCGGGTGCATCAAATCGAACAAGAGAATAAAAGAGAAGAACGGTTGGTTAAATCATTGAACAAACATTTTTACGAGAAAGATAAGGATAAATTTTCTAGGAAAAGGAAATATAGAAATATATTTTTTATATCGTTATATCTTTCAATAATAAATTATATTATTTATCTCTCTGCAAAAAAAGGAAAACAAAAAAAATTAATTCACGTAAATACCCGACCCTATTTGTATTCCAACCGAAAAGAAAAGAAAAACAAGAAAACCTGACCAAAAAAAATTTGCAAGAATAAATAGGAGTGTAATTTTTTGGAACGTTAAATAGTATAAATAAAATCCCATACTAATTTCCCTTGCACGTACGTAAATTTACTGAAAAATTTGTCTATCTGTCTGTCCTGCGTGTATCTGTGTGTGTATGCGTCATTTTTGTTATTCCTTTCTTTTTTTTTTTATTCTTTTTTCTTTTTTTCATCGTCATTTTTCAACAGGACCATATTTCTATTTACCGTGTTAGCTCGTGACCAGGACAGATTAAGATGATTAAGAGGAAGGACGACGAAACGTTGAGACATAAAATTTCACGGTTGTACGCAGAGAATCAAGAGAGAAAATTCGTGGAATTCTTAACAGAATTCTAAAGGGAAAGAGAGAGAGAGAGAGAGAGAGAGAGAGAGAGAGAGAGAGAGAGAGAAGGGACTTTACTCTTTCATCATAAGAGTTCATATGTTCTCTATGGGGGAAAATGTAGTCAGATGGGTAGGGTACAT